TTGCTACGCGCGCCTTTGCGGATGTTCTTCGCATCCCACTTGAACCGAACGGTTTGAGACCCTCTCCCAGGACGACCCTGAAGCAAGTTGACCCTAGGCCCTAAACCATATGCCAAACCCTGTTCAGCAAGGATCCCAACGAGTGTTTGGAGTTCTGGATGCATTCCGCTCCTCATCTTTAGCAAACTTGGTTTGTTGAAGCAGGCCCAACCCGACCCGACATCCCAAAACCCATGCCGGTTTGCTTGTGAAAAGATGTCTAGTGCAGGTGAAGTCGTGCATCTCTGGAAACTCATGACAGGTGGTCAAGCAAAGTTTCAGCAAGGGCACTGCGCAAGCGTTCCCCACAAGCATGGCGATCGAGAGGGTGCTGCCGAACGTCATAAGCTTCAACGACACCATCGATGCCTGCGGGCGGCGCTCAGATTGGAGCATGGCACTGGAGCTGCTGGCACGAATGCCCGGAAGTCGGGTGTCTCCGAATGTGTTCAGCTGCTCGTGCGCCATCAGCGCATGTCAAAAAGGCAAGCAGTGGCAACGAGCAGCGGATCTGCTCTGGGAGATGCAGCGGGCGAAGGTCTCAGCAAATAGTTTCTGTTTCAACAGTGCCATCAGCGCCTGTGAGAGATGCGGCGAGTGGCAGGTTGCCGTGGATTTGTTGGCGGGCATGCCGCAACACAGCACGCAGCCAGACATCATATCGTTCAACAGCACCATCAGTGCATGTGGCAGAGGCAGCGAGTGGCAGTTGGTGTTGGAGCTGCTGAGAGGGACGAGGATTGCCAGTGTTGAGCCAACGGTCATCACATTCAACAGCGTTATCAACGCCTGCGGTACTGGGAGCAGATGGGACGTGGCAATCACAATCTTGACAAACATGCTGTCAGCTCGGATCACTCCCAATGTAATCAGCTTCAGCAGCGCGGTCAATGCCTGCAAGGAGGGTGCTGAATGGCAGATGGCACTGCAGCTCTTGCGAGACATGCCCAAGAGCGAAGTGCTTCCAAATGTAATCTCCTTTAACAGCGTCATCAGTGCGTGTGAGAGGGGCGGTCAATGGCAGGCTGCCTTGGAAATCTTGGCGGCGATGCTTTCATGCGGGCTGCAACCGAGCGTTGTCAGCTACAGCAGCACCATCAGCGCCTGTGAAAAGAACGGGCGATGGGAGATCGCTTTGGGTCTGCTCGGCGACATGTCTTCGACAGGCAGTGCGCCGAATGCGATCAGCTTCAACAGCGCAATCAGCGCCTGTGAAAAGGGCGCCGAGTGGCGTTGGGCGCTGCAGCTCCTGGCCGACATGGCTACGGCGCGTGCGGTTCCAGATACGATCACTTTCAACAGCGCCATCAGTGCCTGCGAGAATTCGTTCCAGTGGCAGGTTGCCCTCCAGCTGTTTGCAGACATGCCAGCCTCGACGATCGAACAAGATGTGTACAGCTACAACAGTACCATGAGTGCATGTGAGAAGTCTGGACAGTGGGTAGTTGCCCTGAGGCTGTTTTCTCAGATACCTTCGTCCAGATCGCTACCTGATGTAATCAGTTACAACAGTTCCATCAGTTCCTGCGAGAAGGCTTCCAAGTGGAATCTAGCACTCCTGCTCCTGTCAGACATGCTTGAAGGGAACGCACAGCCCAATGTCATCAGCTTTAGCAGTGTGATCAGCGCCTGCGAGAAAGGAAGCCAGTGGCAGCGGGCGCTACATCTCCTTGCAACAATGCCTTACTTCCACACCTCACCCAACGTAATTACGTACAACAGTGCAATCAGTGCCTGCGAAAAGGCAGGACGGTGGCAAATCGCCCTGTACCTTCTGGAGCAGATGCCGTATCACTTGGTACGACCAAACCAAATCTCATACAACAGTGCAATAAGTGCCTGCGACAAAGGTGAGCAGAAAAATAGCTAATGCAACTGTTTGCAGAGCAGCTAGCCACTGGCCCGACGCCCAAATCTCAAAGCCCAAAACGCTGAAGCTGTTGCACGTAAAAAAGAAAAGACAAAGAAGCAATTGGAACACGAACAGACATTCCACAACCCAGAAGCCGACAGCCCTCACCTGTCAGCCCAGCTGCTGCATCGTAGTCGTAGACCGTCCGAGCCATACCCAGCCACAACACAGTGCCAGACGAGATCCCCCAATTGTCACATGCCTGAGGAATGGCAAAACTCAACGCCCTCAGCTTTCAGCCTGCCGAACCCGGACACCGTAAACTCGTTTGAGCATGAGAAGCTATAGACACCAAAACCGGAGACCCTAAAGCCGAAAACCAGAAGCCATAGATGCCAAACCCCAAAGACCCCACAAGCGTAGTTTGAAAATGCTCTGAGCTTCAAAACATAGGGATGATCTCCAAGTCTTTGTCCTTGAGCCGTTAAGTCTCGGGGCCTCCAGCTTCGGAAGGGAGCCTTCTACATTGTATCTGTTACATCATCATCGTCATCATCGTGAGTGCCATGGCTACGGACCGGTGGACGGAGGCTTCGGTGAGCAGTGCAACATTGACAAACTGGCAAAAGGAGCCACGGCTCGCGGAGACCTTCCTGCGAACATTTGCTGGCAAACCGTTACTCGTAGTTTCGGTCTTGCAGCAAATGCTTGGATTTCAGGTGGAAGTGTCGGTTTGGCATTACAATGCGGCGATATCCAGATGCAGGCAGCCGGATTCGTGGCAGTACGTGCTACAATTACTCGCATCAATGCGGAAACAGCACATAAGTGCAAACATCATCAGCTTCAGCGCTGCAATAAGCTCCTGTGAGAAAGGGTCTGCATGGCAGATGTCCTTGGGGCTCCTCCAGCAGATGCCGATCCATACAGCTCCCCCGAATGAGATCAGTTTTAACAGCTCGGTCAGCTCATGCGTGGGGCAATGGCGGCATGTGATGCACCTATTAACAGCTATGCCCACGGCGAGGGCGACGCCGAATGCGATCAGCTACGGTAGTGCAATGAATGCCTGTAAGGAGAGTGCTGGTTGGCGGCTAGCTACCCACCTTATGGTTGGAATGGTTGCTGCCACTCTTACGCCTGATGTCATTAGCTACAACAGCACGATAAGCACTGCCGAGAAGGCAGGGCATTGGCAGCTGGCAGTGCAATTGCTGACCGACATGGCGCTTGCCAGCTCTAAGCTTGATGTCATCAGCTGCAGCAGTGCCATCAGCGCCTGCGAGAAGGGTGCGCGGTGGGAACTCGCAGTGCACCTTCTCATGGAAATGCAGAAGCAGCGAATCAATCCAAGCGTCATTAGTTATAGCGCAGCCATCAGTGCAGCTGAGAAGTGCGGCGAGTGGCAGGTTGCCCTGCAACTGTTGCAAGACATCCTATGCAGCGAAAGCGTCAGCCCCGATGTAATTGCTCTCAGCAGTGCTATAAGCGCTTGCAAAGACGGTGGTCAATGGCAGGTTGCACTCCAGCTGCTGGAGGAAATGGGTTACATTGAACTCATACCGAATGTGATGAGCTATAACGGTGCTATCAGCTCTTGTGAGAAAGGTGGCAAGTGGGAGGTGGCCTTGCACCTGTTGTCAGAAATGTTGCTGGAGCAGCTGGAACCAGGCATCATCACATACAGTAGTTTCATCAGCGTGTGTGGGACGGCTGGAGAGTGGCAGCTGGCTGTCCATCTGCTTGAAACAGTCCCTGTCCAGCGAGATGTGATCAGCTATAACAGCGCCATCACTGCGTGTGAGAGAGGAGGACAGTGGCCACTGGCTCTGCAAATCTTGTCTAATATGTACGCTGAGGCCGAAGTCACACCAGACACAATTTCATACAGCAGTGCTATCAGTGCTTGTGAGGCAGGAGGTGAGTGGAAGATGGCTCTGCAGCTACTGACTTGTGCCATAGCCGCTGTGCAGCCAAGCCTCATCACCTACAACACTGCCATTGCTGCGTTTGCAGAGGCCTCTGAGTGGTCGCTGTGTCTTCAGGTCCTGGCCGAGATGAAGACTTCAGAGGTTCTCCCAGACATCATCACTTACAACAGCACCATTGTGTCTTATGAACCGATGGGGCAGTGGCCCGCTGCACTCCATGCACTTGCCCTGATATCTGTCGAAGCATTGCTGCCGAACGTCATCACGTATGCCAGTGCACTCAGTGTATGTGAAAGAGCTGCGCAGTGGGAGCTTTCTCTTCAGCTGCTGGCGCAAATGCTTGTCACTGAAGTTCCACCAAACATCACCTGCCTTGAGAGCGTCATCGGCGCACTGAGCTCAAGCACTCAGTCTCCGAGGCTGGTAGCCTTGCTTGGACAGGTCCAAGTACTCGGAGAGGGCTGGGAGATGTGGTGTCTTGTGCAAGGCGGTGAAATGCTAGCTGCTAGACGGGATGTGTCTTCACTGATAAGTCGTTTCTGGAGGTGCTGATGCTGGTGCTAGTGGCAGCAGCAGGAGCAGTCGTAGTCGCAGCAGCAGCAGCAGCAGCAGGAGGAGGACGACGAGGAGGTAGTGATGTTGGTAGTAGTAGTAGTAGCTTCAGTAGTAGTAGCGTAGCAGCAGCAGTAGCTGCAGTCGTAGTAGCACCAGCAGTGTTGTGACAGAGGTGTCAGCGATTAAATGCTAGACTGCAGAGCTTTGTGTGTGTGTGTGTGTGTGTGTGGTTCAACTGTGGGACGTCCGCGCCGGATGCAAGACGCGACCTGCCGTCCGAAGCTTGTTCACGGAGCTTTCGGGCTTAGAGCCATGCTCCACCATTCAGCAACGAGCAAACGACAGCGACTGTCGGAGATCCAACCTTTGAGCACGTCAGCGAAACCGCAACATGCTTCATCCTGACTGGCTATCGGCATAGCCATGGAAGGCCCCACTTCGTAAGCCAGAGTGACCCTCTCCATCCGAAAGATGGGTGAGGGTTGAAACTTTCGGATTTGCTGCAGAGACGAAGACTTGCGGCAGGCTAGGCCGTAGAAATCGAATCTACAGCGTATGTGGGAGTTTCGGAGCAGAGCGCGAATTCAGTTGAGTTTGAATTGGCACAGCATGTGGTGTGGCAGATCATCCAGAACCGGCCACTCGGCACCAGGCGACCCGCAACCGTCGCTTGCTCATCAGTCACTGTGCATGTGCAGGTGTGCGAGCATGGTAGCGTGTGGTCTGGCGCAAGCGTGTCTGCAGGATACCCGAAGATGCACATGCTGAACTGCTGAAACTTGTCCATGCCAGGCCATCCTGCGTGGTCTGGAGGCCTTGGGCGAGGTGGGGGCAGAGACAAACACATAAGATGCTTCGTTGCTCAGTGTCACTACGGCTACCTCGCGAAAGGCGCACTTGGACCATCCTGTGCTCCAACGTGCTGTGGGGTCGAAATTCCTGCCGCAGCGACTGAGCTCCTGGCGACTTTAGGCTCGAAATTCAGGCCAACCTGATGGCGAATGTATCCCAGATGCTACTTGCTACTTCTTTGCAGTTCAAGTCTCCGTCTGACTTGAGAAGTTTTGTAACATGCCCAAGTGTTCGTTGGAACTCATTGACCATGGAGTTGACGTGCCAGGCGCGAGCGCTGGCAAGCCCTGGGTATTGGAAGCCTTCCGTCCACGTCTTTGGAGCTTCAAGGGTACGTTCGGTCTTCGGCATAGCATCTTACAAGTTTGCCTGAAATTCGGCTTGAGCGCCACATGGCAACCAATCGATGCGCTCTCTACATGTCGGCTGTGGCAGATGAGCACGCGAGCAATGCTTCCAGTGCGGAAGATTCGGCGGAGACCCGCAAGAGGCCAGTAGCATGATGAACCGTCCCGAGCAGAGATATATGCTTGGCTACACCGGTTCTTGGTTGGGAACGTCTAGCATTTCGTATTCCAACACCCAGTTGCGCAATCATGTGCCTGAGCTTGAGTCAGAATCCACCCGAAAGGTGCAGGAGAGGTTATTTCCCAAATAGAAAAAGTTTCCGTTGCCCATTTAGTTGCCGTCAGGCTCCGAATGGAAGCGATGCGGCAGCGTCAACAGGTGGGTTGGGCTCCGTGCTGTCACATGACACCTGAGGGGTGCGCTGCTCGATATACAGTCTTGCAAGATTCCTTGTCAGGCTCTGATGCGACGAATGCAGCAACAGCAAAGTCAAGCTGTTGCTGCAATGGACGAGGCCACACAAGGCGTGGTTGGGCCCGCGTGTTGATGTCTTCTTGCTGGTCATCCTCTACAGACCCTGCAGTCAGGGCTTGTGTCGTTTCTTGCAGGAGCTCTCAACGACGAGACTGAGGCAGAGGACCTGGGTGTTTGGTGTGTAGCAGCCACTAGCTTAGCAATCCATGCAGTGACCCGCCGGTCGCTTCCTCATCGAAGAACGTTTTCGGCTGTAGAGAGGTCAGAGCGGCGACTGTATGGGGATGGTCACTTTTCGCTGCCAGTTTGGACTAGATGTGCGAAGCATCACGACCTGGCCCCTAGCGCTGTCGCTGCTGGCAACGGCTCCGATTTACCGTGCGTCGCCGAGTGTGATCGGTTTCAGTACGGTCATCAAACGGTGTCAGGTTGGAAACCATTGGCAGATGGCCCTCCACCTCTTGGAAACCATGCCAAACAACGGAATAAGGGCTAATGTTATCAGCTTTAACACCACCATCAGCGCCTTTGATACGGACGGCCAGTGGGAGACAGCCCTTCAGCTATTGACAAGCATCGCATTGGCCGGCACCTCGCCAACAATTATCAGCTTCAACACCACTATCAGCATGAATGAGAACTCTGGTCAATGGAAAACCGCCATGGGCGTGATGCAAGGCATGAAACGTTTCAGCACGGCGGCAGATGCCATCACATTCAGCGCGGCAGGCAGTGCATGCGAGAAAGGTCAGCAGTGGCATTCCTCCTTGAGCTTGCTGGCACAAATGCCAACCTCGAGAGCTGTGCCCAACACTGTCTGCTACAGCAGTCCCATGATGGCTGCTCAAAGTGCCGGGCATTGGCAACTTGCACTGTGCCTTCTTGCCCACATGAGGATCTGTTTGCTCCGTCCGAGTCTCCTTGCTTTCAATAGCACCATCACTGCTCTCAAGTGCGGCGAGAAGTGGCAAGTTGCTCTGCAACTGCTGGGCCACATGTTGTGTGGAAGAGTGTTGCCTGATGCAGTCAGCTTCAACAGCGCAATCGGAACTTGTGAAACTCAGTGGGAGGTTGCTCTGTTTCTTCTGGAAGTTATGTCTGAGCATCATATACCTGCGAACACCATCACATACAATGGCGTTTTGAGCTCATTCGCCAAAAGCTCTGAATGGCAGCGTGCTTGCAATCTGCTTTTGCGCATGTCTGACATGGACATAAAGCCGAACGAAATCAGTTTCAACACCGTGATCAGTGCAACAGAGAAGGGTGACCATTGGGAGCATGCCTTATTGATAGTGGAGGCAATGCCGGCTGCGGGTGTCAGAGGGGACGTCATCACGTACAGTAGTTTGATAAGAGCCTGTGAGCGTGGCGCCAGCTGGGATCATGTCCTCCAGCAGATGTCCACTATGATCGAGTCCAGTAGTTTGCCAGACACAATTTGCTGTAATAATGCTGCCAGTGCTTTGGAAGCTGCAGCACAGTGGGAAATGGCAATGAAGCAACTGGGGCAGATGGTGGCTCCCGATGCAATGGGCTGTTCCAGTGTTGTACGCTCATGCGGTCAGAGGCTGCAGTGGCACACTGCACTGCAGCTCTTTGACAACTTGTCCGACATGCGCTTGACATCGGATGTGATCTGTTTCGTAAGTCTTGCCAGTGCATGTGAAAGAGCTGCATGCTGGCAGTTCTTGCCCGAACTGTTGGACACCACAGCTGCTGCTAGCATCGTTGAGCAGTTTGGTGTTTTGGCGAGCCATGCGTGTTGCCACGATGGCTTTGGGCATTCTAAGAATTTGTGAGACATGTGGCGGCGGTGCAATGCAATGCATCGGACCGACTGGGCAGCTGGCGGACTTTGCTTGCCACTTGCTTGCCCGAAAAAACTGTTGACGACAAGTATAGGCACCCTCATGAAAACGGGTACCAGTACCATGAACACGACAACCAATGCACAGGTCACAATGATCGTTTCTGCTGCACGGTGTCAGTCCCTGGAAGACATGCCGCATCATGCAGTTCTCCCAGCCACCTGAGAAGCTACAGGCAGACCTGGACAAAGAGCCTCCATAAAGTACCGAAAGAGAGTGAATATAACGCTCGGCAAACGTGCATCATGCCGTACTTTTCTTGCATCTCATTTGTCTTCCCCATACTTGTTGTTTAAAGTGTAGAAGATGCGCGGAAAGACACTCAGTCAGTGAAACCCTCCCAAATGGCACGATAGTGGCTTTGATGCAGGACACCGGCGCATTGTGGCAGTTCGCCGCTTATCGGAGTAGCTTCATGGAACACTGAGCAAGTGTGTGCTTCTGCTGTGCTGTGCCCAAAGACAAAGATTGTCATACTGGGCCGCTACTCGCATGAAAGGTGCGCCACCTGCCGCGAAGATCCGGGCTAAGCACCGGCATTCTGCACATGTGTGTATGTGTGTATGTATGTATGTATGTATGTATGTATGTATGTATGTATGTATGTATATGTATGTATATGTATGTATATGTCTGTATATGTATGTATATGTATGTATATGTATGT